AACACAAAGGGCCTCAAATATTTTGCTCTATACTTCGCAAAAGTTACGATAGAGTTTTAAATTTGATACAGTTTAGGGGTTTCATGAAGAATCAGTTGTACAAAGTATGTATCAGGTCGGTCTAAATTGATGTAGTCCCTCAAATGATTCTTCAAATGTTGGTAATTTGAGATTTTAAGAAGAACAACACATTCTTTCAAATTTGGTATAACCCTTATATGAAGGTATCCGCTGATTTCGGCTATTTCCAGCGTCTTGGTCCCATTTTTCAATTGATTTTACCCTTATTTGACATCTTAGCTTCTAAGGGGGTAGAAGACCCCTTTGCGGAAATTTTTTGATTATATTTTCGAATCGATTTGGCTTAAAATGTTTGTTAGGCTAATTTGGGGGTAGATGGGCTTTTAAAAAACAGTTAATGTATACTTTTTAATACATGTGATCTATTATTTAGGTTTTAAACTCTCAAACTAAAACCTGTGGCTGAAAATACTTATGCTTTTAAAACTATGCATTAAAGACTAAAATTACGGGCCTGCAACGCGGACCGGGCCAGCTAGTCACTTATAAGGAATTGTGTGAACAATATTTAAAAAAAAAAAAAAACAGAAGGATGACCTTCTGGATTATCTGCAAAAGGGTGTTAATATCATTGACGGCACATATCGTCCAAAGATATTGCTACAATCATTAAAGGAAAAAATTAAAGGATTACTGATATCCTTCCAAGAAAGATTACTGATATACTTCCATTCAATTTAAAATTTGATGCAATAATATTTGAGAAATTTACTGGGGAAACTATGCTGAAGTATGGATGGGAAAATATGTTTACAACAGTGCACAAAATCCTAAACAATGGAAGAGACGTCATAAAAACATCACGAAATTGTGTTAAGGAGGTTTATTTGAAGGTTTTATATAAATTTATAGAAACATCAAGAATTTCTTTTTTTTTTTTAATTTAAAAAATGTCACTTTTACAATAAAAAATATAATATTTTCATTGACAGTTTTTGCTTTATTACCATATACTTTTAATTTCTATTATACTTAATGTATTGGAGTATAGCATTTTCCAATAAGTAATGGGATATAAGACACAAAAACAACCATTGATTGATGTAAAAAAAAACACAAAATTTGATCTTTGATAGTAATGTAGGGGAGTCGAACGGCAGATATACCAAGACCAAGCATATGTCTCCATTTTCTAATTTCAGTATCGTCGCTTCCGACGCGGACAACTCTGGATTAAAGGAAAAACTAACGTGTTTATGACATAAAAGGTCATCGATCCTCGATGTGTCTTACCTTTGATTATTCTGTCCATCAGAAAGTTCGATGCAAACTCATTCCGATGAAAATTGATCTAGATGACACTGATAATTTGTTTTTTATTAATTGGGCTTCTTGGGAGCCGTTAATCTCTGTTTCTGTAGACTTCGACCATGTGTCCTGCATTGGCATAAAAGATGTATGCCAATTCTTTAAGTATTCTGTCTATCAGAGCGTTCGTTGCCATCTCACTCCCATTTGGATTGATCTGAATGAGCAAGATCATTGGTCCTCCAGTAATCGGGCTTCTTAGAAGTTGCTGATCTCTGTTGCCGTAGACTTCCAGCATATGTTCTGTCTCGAACTTGCTGCCCCAACCCTTAATAAAAACAGTTACCCTAGTCAGGCTAGATGCCACAGTCTTCTTCACCACCCTCTGCTTTGCTTCTTCGCATCGGGGGTATGCTGTCAACCAATAACATGTCCCGTTTTATCTCGCAGCTTTATAGGATGCAAGTCTATTTTACTTCCAAAGCATGCATTAAAATGCACTTGGAACCAGATGCAAATGAGGGCCAAGGTGTAATGCAAAAGTATTCCCTTTTACTATATATTAATGATTTAATGAAAAATGAAATCCCTTCGTTAAAAGAAACACTCAAATAGATTTAAATCAAATATAATTATTTATTCAACTGAGTAAAATTTCAAATTTCACTTCGAGTCAACTGAACTTTCATTTCCAAAGGAAATGATGATGATTCTGGATCAAATGCCACTTCCGAAGCCAAATTAACCTTTCTTGCAAAAGGCACTGAGGATTGAAAAGAAGTCACTGTATTTGTCACTCCCCAATATTTAAGCAAATCTTTATTTTCTCTCTTTGCACCTTTTCTAGATGAATATTGCCACAAATTTGAAACTAAAATAATTTTGGGTTCACTATTTTCTACAACACATTACAACATTAGTTTCAATTTTATTTTTATTTATTTACTGGCGTATGGTATTACGGTATTAGTTAAGCTGGTAATATCTAATGGAGTTGCATTACCAACCAGCATAATGAATGCTAGAAGGCTGACACCTTATATAGTCGGTGCGATAATAATTAATTTTTTAAAGACGGTGAGTGAGTAATTCTTGATTTGATATTATTGTGATTTTGTGATTACTCACATGAAACTTGCTCTTACGTATTTAAGCCTTTTACTGTATGGTCTTATGAGGCGAAATGCTCTTTGATTCAGAAGTATTTAATAACAGAGAAATATACGAAGACCTGGACCTGCATAGACAACTTTCTGTCATAGGCTGTAGTATTCATTACGAACTTCAAATACCGAATTTGAAACAATTCTGGTAAATAATGTCGCTAAAATCATCAAAATACCGAATATCGGGAGGTACCGTTATATGGAGGCTATACGAAGACGTGGACCTGCACAGACAATTTTCTGGTATCCATTACGAACTTCAAATACTAAATTTGAAACAATTCCGGTGAATAATGTCGTTAATATCATAAAAATACCGAATAAAGGGAGGTACCGTTATATGGGGGCTATACGAGGACGTGAATCTGCACGGACAATTTTCTGTCTTAAAATACCGAATATCGGGAGGTACCGTTATTTGGCGGCTATATGAAATGTGACCTACATGGCCCATTTACGAACTTAACCTGCCTACTGGCAAAATAAACATTTGTGCAAATTTTAGCCTTCTATCTCAATTCGTTCGAAAGATAACGTGATTACAACAGACAGACACACAGACGGACATTGCTAAATCGACATAGAATTTTACGCTGATCAGAATATATATACTTTGTTGGGTTTTATATGAGTATTTCGAGGAGTTACAAACGAAACGACAAGTTAATATACCCTCCATAGTATGGTGGAGAGTATAAAAAGGACTTTTTTGCCGTAAATCTACGTTTGTTTGAGCTTTATGAGTTATGACTATATTAATAACGTGAATACACTGACATAGCAACCAGATAGAATATTTTTTTCTCTTATGATCCCCGGAAAACTAGGGTCTTCATATCCAAAGGAATAATTTTCTCATTTCCTGCATATCGTTTAGAATTCTGAAGAATACCGCTATTTTCATACAAAAAATTGTAAAAATTCAAACAAATGCCTAATGTTTGAGAATAGAATCCAATCTCTCTCTTCGATTGTCAACTCTATTCTCGGCTATTCGGCTTGACTGGAGCAATGTAGAGTGAGAAAAGAAACATGACCGCTTCGCTTGGGTGTAGATTCAATTCTGGTTTTTATTTAAAAATATGTTCCTTTAGTACTACTGAAACTAACTTAACATAATCGCAGCCACACAATTATTCTTATCTACTCTAATATTGAAGGAGAACTTTGCAGAGCTGCTTGTCATTTTATTGTAGTGGTCTTGTGCATCTACTGAGCGCATCAATATCTGTGCGTGTGGATCATAACCTTTAATTATCTCACATTATCGTATGCGTCAGGGCAAAAAATCACTGAATTGTTTACATGTTGTGTTCTATGGCAGCTGGGACATATGTAATTTAGAGTATTTATTGTTTATTGCTAGATTTTCCCAGCGCATCAACCGCACTCAAAATATGTACAAAGTATTTTGTACACCTAACTACTAACATTTTACCGAAGATGTTAAATCATTTTTAAGCGGGCGACATTCTGGGAATGAATTTAGAATCTCAAAATGGAGAAAAATATATAAAACTAGCTGGCCCAGTCCGCGCTGCCGGCCCGTAGTTTTAATTTTAATGCATAGTTTTTAAAGCACAATAATTCTCAAATCTGGCTCACATAGATGGTACAATTTTTGTATAAATGATGACTCGATTAAATATAAATAAATACGTCTTTCAAAAACCCTGATCCTATTTTTCAGTAGAGGTTTTAGTTTTTGAGTTAAAAACCTAATATTATAGCACATATATTAAAAGTATACATTAACTGTTTATAATAGGCCCATGTAAGATGGTTCTCCTACCCCAAAGTAGCCTAAACACACATATTAAGTCAAACAGATTCGAAAATTTAATCAAAACCTCGAATAGGGTAAAATCAGGAGGTATTTTTATATGAGCGCTACTCCAAACATTGATGCCAGATGCCAAATAAGGGCAAAATCAATTGGAAAGTGTGACCAAGACCCTGGTAATAGCTAAAATCACCGGACACCTTCACATAAGAGTATAATGAAGCATGGTCCTATTCTTATAATTATTTGAAAGAATTTGTTTTTTTTTTTATAAAATCTGAAATTACCAAACATTTGAGGAATGTGAAAGGGGCTCTATCATTGAGGGGGGCTATATCACAATGTAGACCAACCTGATACATATTTTGTACAAATGATTCCTCATGTAACCCCTAGGACTGTATCAAATTTAAAACTTTATCGTAACTTTTGCCCAATGAATTTTGCGTTTTTAATTCTCCATATCTAAGCAAAATCGAACATTTGGGTATGGCAACCATATAACAGCATGTATGGAACATATGCAACTTTCTCGATTTTTTCGGTTTTTTTCAATAAGTATTTTCAATTTCAAAAGGCCATTCTGAAACAATTCTACACAAAAATAAATAAATAAATATATATATATATATATAATATAACATATAGCCGAACAACTCCAAAACTATAAGTATTTCCAAATAAGGCAAACTAATTCACACTAACATTTTATTATATTTTAGGTTTGGCACTAACGTTGATTTATCTGACGAACGAAAATGGCGTCCACAACTAGCCGAGCTTCAAAAATTGCCTGCTTTCGGCCGTGGTTATATCTGCTGCAAATATGCTCTCCTCATGTTGGCCATGTTATATTGGGAATGAATACAGTACAACTTTACATGAAAGTGCCAGGAAGCAGGACTCCGGGGCATCAAGAAAACAACAATTTCTGTTCAATAATATCAACATCGGGCCTGGCGATTGTGAGTGGTTTGCGGTCCCTGACGCTTACTGGGGAGGCATTCATAATTTATGCGAACAAATAACATAAGTTACTTACATGGATCTTGGTGGCCTGTATTAGATGATTTATATAAAGAAAATATTCCAGTTTACCGATTTATACAACGACCCGGTGATTTGGTTTGGGTCAATGCTGGGTAACTATTGAATTATTAAAAATAATATTATCTAAATAGCTCATAAAAAAAATTTTTGTTGGCATTAATAATCTCAAATGATTCATAGTGAATAGTTTTTCATCCGTTTTTTTAAAACTACATAATCTCAAACAAACTTAAAAAAATGTAAACGATTTATGGGCAATATTATACTAGCTCGTCGATTATTATACTGCTGTTTAAGAGCTTATAGACAATACGGCTGTTACCTAGATATAATGGCGTATCTTATTACATTCATTTGCATAATGCGACTAATACCTCATATAGTGTTCTCTACCCAGACTTCTCTTAGCAAAATTCACCATTATTTAGTTTGTGTATGAATTTTGGACAGAAAATTTCTCATTTTACATATTTCAATTCATCATGAAAACTGATGAATATCATAGATCTGCTTAACTGGATTTAAAACATTGTTATAAAAAGCACAAAATGTATCGATTATACATTTTACTATTGGATTTCCTTGCTGTTCAAATGTTTGTCATTTTAATACCGTCCAAAAATTGTTTGCGATAAAACTACGAAAATAAAGCATCAATGTTTCTTCTATTCTAAATGATGTGTAAGTTATAAAAATGTGTATTTCTTCCAGTTTAAAGTTGGTGGTATCTGTTTGTCATTAATGGGTTAATAACTTTGTTTACCCGTCTACAAGCAGCAATGACTTTGTGAAATAAAACGTTTTTTTGGTCTTAAGCAAGTCCACGTTGTTGCTTACATTTGTTGTCATTTTTAATCAATACTCGTAAACACTGTTACAAAATTTCACTAGATGTTCAAACATAGTGAATGTGTGTTCGAGCAATGACTGCAGGCATTAATAACTTCATATTTATTCAGTTGCCATCTTGGGCTATTGTTTGTCGGAAGTATTATTATTTATCTGCGAAGTATTATCTAACTGGAAGTATTATCTAACTGCGTCGACGGATAAATACCCTTTGAAATGTTAAATTAAAGGCTCCTTGAGGCCATTGACATTTTGTCTGCAATCTTGTATAATATAACATTTGTTATTGCAAACTAATTAAATGTATTATGTACATTTAGTTGTCGAATTGTTGAGAATATGGAATTCTAACTTTTAATATTGCAATTTTTTTGCAAAACTATCTTAGAAAGTCCATATGCAACAATAAGAAAGAATTGAGGATGAACATTGTAAAATATAAGCCGTGATTTTAACACATCAACTTATTATTAGCTAGATTTGTCTATAGCGATCATGAAGGTATTTCCTTGCATGTCTGGGTGGAGGAGGTGTCAATTCATATGCTAGCCATTGGGAAGTCTGTATTGGATTACAATTTTATTGTGCTTCTCCACACCGGAGTCGCATAGTTTTCCACAGGATGGTCTTTTCGTTATAAGACAGCAACAAGGTTTGCTTATTAGCTCCCCTAAAGCTGAAAGCAAGTGAATTGAGAACAGTGCTCCTGCATTCTAGTTCCTACAGCGGGATCACCATGCTCTTTCTAGTTTTGGGAACCAATAGGATGGCTAACGACAAGTTGAGAACTTTGCATAAATACGTAACATACTAGACCCAAACTGGATTTCTTTGAAAAAAAGAGCGAATAAAACCTTCGATTGCCGTAGTAAAATAGGCCATTAGTAAGGTATATTAAGGTAAATGTCGTATTTATCTAGCGGAGAATTATTTATATCTAAACATCTTATATATAAATATATAAAAATGTGTTAGTTACTACGCTTATGACCCAAGAACCGCTGGTCTGATTTTAACTATTCAAACAAATTCAGATTCTCTCTTGGCAGAAAGGATAAATCCAAAAAAAAAAAAAACGTAAATTTGAAATTTTCTTTTTGCCTTTGGGAACGTACTAATCTTCTTTCTTCTTATATATAAAAAAAACAATTGTTGTTCGTTGGTAATGGAATCAGTTGAGAACGGCTGGACCGATTTGCATAATTTTTGTACAAACGTTTTCATACCCCGAGTTAGGTTTTTACAGAAAAAATATTGACTACGTCTACTTTTACCCCCTATTTCGACATCTAAAATCCTTATATTTGCCAAATAATGGAGATTTCGATCGAGAAAATTTCGATACATCGAGAAAATTTGCATATTTCTGTACATGCCGTTATACTTTTAAAAGCATCAAAACATTAAAAATCCAAACGTACTTTTAAATGAGGCTATACCTAATGGGGAACCAATAGTAGCCACTACTTGGGAATAGAAAATAAATCATAAAGTGGACGTTTGTTATAATTTTTTTGACTCAAAATAACTTTGAGCGCTTCA